TTTCTTTCTTTCTTTCTTTCTTTCTTTCTTTCTTTCTTTCTTTCTTTCTTTCTTTCTTTCTTTCTCTGGGTCCTCTCTATTAGGCTCAATCTGTTGCAGTTTCTGGAATCTCTCAATCCTGTGTGGCTTCTGTGTTCAAGAATCAAATTGGGGGTGGGGGTGGAATTTTCCCATCTAATGAACTAAAAATTCCTTTTGAAATCACAGTTAGGGGTGAATAGAAGTTGAAGCTCAGCAGTTGTTTGGTACAGCCTTTTTTTCTAAATTAAAAGCAAAACTGGAAGGGATACAACTTGGTTTATCAGCATTGTAGTTTCCCAATTTTAGCATCTGCTGAGACATCTTTGGAACTTGGATTCACACTTGCTAGCTGATCTCTGTGTTGCTGACTCTGTTGATGCTTTTCTGTATTAATGCAAGGGTAGAGAATGACAGCATCAGGTGGAAAGCTGCCTGGGAAGAGATGGAGTATGCAGGGCAAGGAAGAAAATATTGTGAGAAAACAAGCTCTTGTGAAATAGCTAGGAATGTATTACTAAAGACAGATTCAGAATGACTGTATCTGATTTTTATAGAATAATATACTCCCACCTTCCCTAAGGGAGAGAAATTTCAAGGACATTGTTAATGGGAATTGTTTTCTTTTGCCAGGAGAGCAATGGAAACCTATGTTCCCTTTGTACAGTCTGCTTTGTACATATAAAATCAGAGCCAAGACAATGTGTTCTGATGGAGAGCATGGTCTTTGTAAGATGGCCAGGAACTTACAGGTAGTCCTTGACTTACAACCACAATAGGGACTGGAAAATTCATTGTTAAGTGGTGCGACCATTAAGCGAGGCATCATGTGGCCACACCCAATTTTACAACATTTTGTTGGTGGTCATTAAGCGAATCACTGCAGTTATTAAGTGAATCAAGCAGTTCCCCATTGGTTTTGCTTGTCAGCTGGGAAGGTCGCAAATGGCAATCATGTAATCGTGGGGACACTGCAACAGTTGTAAGTGTGAGGACTAGTCATAAGTCACTTTTTTCAGCACTGTTGTAACTTTGAATGGTCGCTAAACAAATCGTCATAAGTTGAGGATTACCTGTACTTGAGAATATTTTCCTGTTCCCCAGGCAAATAAAACAGGATTCCAACAGGAAACTCTTGATGTCTCCTGATTTCAAATCTTATGGCTTTTTCTCAGCCCAGTTTTCTAAGCTGGATGTTATGAAGCTTGTCTAAATGCACATGGATATTCCATGTCATAGACTCGTAGAATCATAGAGTTGAAAGAATCTCAGAGGTCATCAAATCCAACTCTCTGCTCAGTGCAGGAACTACTAGAGTATCTCTGATAGATAACTATCCATCCTCTGTTTGAAGACCTTGTGTGGGTAGGTGTGTTTCACACCCAGCTCTTTGCCTGTAATAAGTTCATCCTCCCAACAGCTTCCTGAGCTATGATCATTTTGTTAGATGCAGCCCCATATCCAAAATATGGAAGAGTATCAGATGCTACTCTTTTCAGTTTTTGCAATCTTGACCCCTGGGAAGGGCCAGGGGAGATAGTGACATGTTATTAATTTGGGGGGGCGGGTTATTACAATTCCCCCCCCCCCCCCAAAAGCTCCCTCTGGGGGCAAGAGAAAAAACCCTTCTTTTTTATTATAAAAAAAAATAAT